GGATAGTTGTGAGCGAGCTCCTTATTTGGAAATGTTCTGGGGTGAGTGCTGAAACATCTTCGGGGTTATTACTCATCAGCTCTAAAAGCCTGGAGTTGTGTATGGCCTCGATCTGAGCAAGCAAGGTGGTCAGCTCTTCAAAGATAAGCAAGGTCTCTCCGATAGTGCGTCTTAGGTGATGTTTTACTGATTTCACCACAACTTCCCACTTGCCTCCTATGTGTGACGTTGTAGGTGGATTGAATTCCCATTAAGTATTATCTTGTGACAGTATGTTTACTATCTGTTGATCTGTTGAGTCTTTTAAGAGCGGCATCAGCCCCAATGAAAGTCGTGCGACAGTCCAAGTATAACGTATGGACAATTCCTCAATGAGCAATGAATCGTCTCTTTGTGGAAATGAATCCACTGGTTGTGTAGTCAGAGACTGCCTCAGGGTGTACCGCTGATGTGGCATAACAGAAAAAGACGCAAATCCATGACTTGTCAAAAGCATGAGTGAACGGGCGTAATGGCGTGACTCTAGAGACACGCAATTGGCCCATCAGTTGATGAGCACGGATTCTCCTTTGTCGTGCGCATACAACACAAAACAAGATGTGGACTGTCACTGGGAATCTTCTCTAAGAATCCAATATTGTTGGCGAGTACATCCTAATGTGAGTTGCGTGCGTCTATCGAGAGTTCGTTCATGAGCATGAGCAATAACTGTAGCTGAGAATTTTGAATATCCCACAATTTTGGACATGTAAGAATCGAATGTGAGTTGTTGCAGTATTCGCACGCAACCTTTTCTTACTGCTGAGTGAGTTGACTGAGCATTGTTCACTGATATCTGGTAAGCATTTGATGTTTTTCGTGCTGAAGGTTGGAACTCGGGTGATCTATCATTAATTCAACCTCTTTTAACGCCCTTAGCCGAGATGTTAGGAAGGCTTTTTGTTGATCGAGGCGCGGGTATGAGATGGAAGTGCCAATTGATGACTCACACATTTCCCTCGTGGTACGATCGAGTTGTTGAGAGATCTGATGCAGTTGAAGGGGAGGGGGAGCCCAGTTCGATATGATTGAACTAATAGCCGTTTGTTATTTTAACAATCAGTTAATATCTTCCAGGCTGGAGGGAGTGATTCGTTTTTCAGCGGGAGTCCAGAAATTAATTGTACTACTGGCCCTTCCAATGCGACGCGAAGAGAATGTAGCTTTTCAACCTTGCTAGTTTCATTGTTGTCCATGATGAATGACGTGAAAAGGTCGCAAAAACCAAACCAGTTTTATTGCCTGATGAAGAAACTATCTCAGCGAGATTATTTATTATCCAGATGCGACCCCACTGAGTTTTTGCCTTTAACTCAAGTTCAGTGGGTAATTGTGTTGGTCAAGAACTTCGAAGTATGTCTTTCTTTGATTCCATCCTTTTTTTGGTTGTCATGTTGGTTGGCTTGTACTACAGAGAGGTAGCAGGACGTAAATCTCCGGACACCTCTTCTTGCTATGTTCTAGGTGGTGGGTTCGTACGTGGAGAGGTGGGAGGTTGTAACTCATCGGTTTCTCCTTAGTGTAGTACTACATGTTACCTAGTATGGAGTGATACAAACGTAACTGTTGAATGTTTGAAGTTGCGCGTATGCAGGGCACTGGCGAGATGCACTACCTCCCACTAAATCCGGCTCGAAGGGCCAAATGTTCGAAAATGTATGATTTTCTGGCTCGAACTGCCAATGTTCGATAGTTCAACTTAAGTTCTTACCTAAGCATCCGCTAAGACGGGCGATAAATTAAATTGAACTATCCAATATTGGCAATTCAAGCCAGAAAATCAAACATTTTTGAACATCTGTACACATATGGTTAATTCTATTTGTTTAATTTTCCACGTCAAATTAGTAAGTTGAAATTAAATTATAGAATTAATTCAGTCATAGAAAAGAGTTATTTATGAATATTATATTTTAATTTATTTTCATAAACAAAAGTATAAAATTCTTGTTAATTATTATAATTTATATAATAATAGCAATAAGAAATATAATAATATTTGGTATAATTTATAATTATTATGCACTCTATTTTTTCAAACGTACTTATACAAAATTAGATGCAAGTTGCAATCTGATATACAACCATTGTTCTAAATGGAAAATTTTTAATTAGAAAGATTGACATTAAGAATACCAATTCTTATAATTATTCACCAATTTAATATAATTATTTTTACATATCATTAATAAATAGAGATTTTAATATTTATTAAACACTTCTGTAAATAATTATCATTTCGTAACTTTCTAATTATTGTACATATTTTTTACAATTATTATAACTTTAAACATTTTTTTATTTCTGTATTAAATTATTAGTGACTGAATAATTATATTTAATTATAGTTAACAATAGTTTTCTTCATACATAATTAATTAAATTCGTAACTAAATATTTTTACTTTATAATCGATTTATTAATTTATGCCAATTAATAACAAATAATAAAATAATTAATCAATTAAAATTTTTCAAATATAAGTAACTAATTTATTATTTTTCTTTGTACTTAATTTTCCTTACGTTATAAATATTACAATATTAGCTTAAAACTTTTGAAATAATATTCTAAAATATATTATGTTGAATTTTATAAAATGTTAGATATAAAAAGAAAACATTGCTAAAAATAAAAAAATGTATGCATTTTAAGGGGTTAAAAAATAAAAAATTTTAAATTACGTTTAAATAGTGTGCAATATTAGTAATTGTTTTCTTCGCCTGTTGTAACAGGCTATTAATCTTCATCTTCACCTTCATCGAGGTCATTACGAGTACTCTGCGTAATATAGAACATCATTTAGTTTTCTTATAGAAGTAGAAAAAAGTATTAAATTTATAAGCGAATGAATCGATATTTATATTTAAATGTCTTATATTCTTACGTATTTGTAACAAAAGTTCAGATTTTCAAAAATCATTAAGAAACTAATTTTTGTCATGCTTCATTATATTAATTTTCTTCATTATACTTCATTATAATTATTATTATATCAAGCCATTATAGCATTTTAGATAAATCATGTAATACGTATTCATTTAATTAATATCCATTCTGTAATATTCTTGAATTAACAAATTACATAAAAATTATAATATAATATGACATTTCTGATTTTTTAATAAGAATAATAACTCTTTAATAAGAATAAAATAACAACTCTTTCGATTATATTTAATACTGATATAAATATTGATTGATTCTATATAATTCTAATTCTGTTGATAATGATTGTTAATTATGTTAATATATAATGTATTTACAATTCTATATTTTTCATTTAGGTACAACTAAATCCATAAAATTTATGATAGTGTTTTTCTGCCTATACATACATATAGATATAAAACTATCATCTGTTTCAGAATTTACTAAATTAATATATTTATTATCTGTATTTTTAGGTATTTTGAGGTATATTTATAAATTAATATTTTTATTTTATCAAAGAATTATTTAAAAAATTTAGAATGAATGTACTTTATAATACCGCTTTTTGTTTAAAAAATCTTAGTATTATAAATATTCATTATTTTTATATTTATATTTTAAATAATTCAGTGAATAATTTCTTGTATATCCCAGATAACAAAATATTATTATGTGTCAAGTAACAAAATTTTTCAATCTGGTTAGTAAAATTTTCTAAACAATTCATAATGAAATAATACATAGCAATATCTAAAATTTGATATAATTTATTTTCTAGATTATAAAATTAGTATTACACACTTGTAAACTTTAGTAGAATAATTGCATTTATGTAGTGGATTTGTTTTTTATTTCAATTTTTTACATTTACTAATTTGTATATTCTTAATAATGAAAAATAAAGATGGGAAAAAACTTTAATTATATATATATATCGAAATTTAATCAATAATACATTTATTGGATCATAATATTTACTTTTATTCAATTTATTATTTTCATATTATATGTTTATTAGCATTTATTATAATGTATGAGAATTTTAATAAAATAAAAATTTAGTGATTAATGAGATAATGGTTTAATTATTTATTTAAATAATTAAACTTTAAGTAGTAAAACTAATATCTTAACTTTAGATGAGTGCATTAAGAACATAATTTCATAGGATATGTGAATGTATATTTTTATCTATAATATGTATGTATAATACGTGTTAAAATGAAATAGCCATTAAATCAATATACTTAAACTTTTTAGTTTAAAATGTATTTGAACATTTTAAGTCTTAAAAGAACATGCGCATATCGAGATGATGGATAATTAGGAAAATTAATACAAGTTGTGGAAGCATTAAAAATTGCAGTTTTTAAGAGAAAAATGTCGAAAAATGGTCCAAAGATAAGTATATAAGAAGTATAATATTGTTTAGACATGTTGAGTAGAGAGATGGAGAACGGCAACAGATAGGTATAGGTGGGGATAGGTTGATAGGAGAAGGAAGCGAAGAGTGAAAAGCATTGCTGTTCTTGTCGTATACGTACATCGTAGGCTAGAATAGTACAGTGGCAGTTGGTCTCGGCCGTGGCTGGTACCACCGGTACCAGTATTCTTTTCTTCCTGTTCCCCTACCTGCCCCTTCCACTAAACTGCGACGTCATACCGTTCCCCTAAATCTCGCGCTCACTCCCTCCTCCCCCTCGTTTGCGCAGTCGCACTCCCACGAATGAGGGGCCGCCTATTGTGCATCAGCTTGAGACTAACCCGAGTCAGTTCAGCCCTCAAACTCTTCTCGTCTTTAATAACCAACAGGTTTCGGGTGAGTGAGTCGTGCTACGTACATGAACTACAGTATTACTACTCGACGAAAAAATTCGGATCCAAACAATATATAATACTTAGCGTGCGGATCAGTCGTCCTTGCTTCTTTCCATAGCCTCTCTCTCTCAGTGGTCAGAACACAGGGAGTTCCAGCCTCCTGAGGTATCAACGCACCGGGGGAGAGAGGGGAGACGTGTAAACTTAGGTACACGACTCTTCTAAAAACGCAAGAAGTCAAGAAAGTTTGGTCAATAGCGTAAATTTCCATTTATCACATCTGTAACATCATCTTCAATAGCACCTGCTACGGTGAGTCGCTGATATGCGCAGTTTATTTTTCCTGTAGTTTTGATTCTTCGCATGCCGATTCTTAAGTGCCACCTGTCGTCGAAATTTAGATGAGAGCGCTCGCTTTGTTTCTTTGTATCGTAAGTAAATCTGCATTGCATTTGAATCGTAATAAGTACGAGTCAACGGTGAAGAGCGAGCGAGGATGAGCATACGTTCAGTGATGCAAATATTTTTTAATTTGTTGAAAAGTTAGATTTTTTATGGCGGATGCTTGAAGTTTATTACTCTTTACACGTCATTATGAGATATTTATTTTAAAGTGCAACAGAATATCGTCGACTTTCAATAACTTGCATTCTTAATTTCCAATCTAAGAAATGCAACCTGACGTACAGAGAGAAAGGATACTTATTCTGCTTTTTCTATATTGTATACTTTCTTTCCCTCCTTCAACTCTGCCTGAGTTTAGTTTAAAATCTGTAAGGCTTTTCTACATGTACAGAAACTGATATTGTCATCCAATTACTTAAATTTTTTATTTGCCAAAATTATTACTTATTTGCAAAATTGAATTATTGTATTATTTTTAAGAATATTTTAAGTTATTTTTATTTTTTATTATTAAAGTATGTGATGTTAACACAAATTCTTAAAATTTGATTTTATTAAAGATATATTGAATATTAATTTTTAATATTTTCACCCATTTGGTTCTTATACAATAAAATTTAGCATATACGCTCTTAAACAAATATTTTATAGAACATTTACAAAGCCTTAGAGTAATAGCATTAAATGTTTATAACCATTTTAATATAATCATACTATCTTAAAAATGGAATACATTATTGAAAAATTTGTTGGAATAATAGAAAGGTCGATTAAAAATTCGTTGTGAAACCGAAGTATTATATTGTAGTTAAATTATACTGTTTACGTATAGAAACTTTTTTATAAATTTTTATAATATTGTATACAGTAATCAAACTGAGAAAATAGCATAAATTAGAATAAAACTGTTAATAGAGCACCTGTAAATAATCTATGTGCTTCGAGTAATTTAAGAACTTTGTCATTAAATATTAACAGCAATTAAGTATTTGGTGATAATAATGAAAATGTAAATTTGATTAAATAAGTAATGAAAAATTTTCCGAATAAAGAAGAAAGTTAAATATAGTGCTGTGATGGAATTATTTTCATTTGTGGGATATTTTATGAAGCGAATGACGCTAAGGCCAATCGCTAAGCATACGCATAACCAATAATTTTTTATGTAAAACTACAACTCAAGCTAGAGTTCAAAGTATCTTCTTCATTGCACGAATAAATATAGTCAGATTACTGCGAGTTTATGCTAAAGTTTATGAGGCCAATAAATAATGTACAGTTTTTCGACAGAATGGTGGCACTATAACTCAAGGTAACGGCATTGACCTCCAATTATACATTGTAGTCATGCGCTTCTGAGAATATTAGTTACACCAATTGAGTCATAGTTTTCTTATTGCTATTATTAATGAAATAGTATTATGCGTCGGAAAAAAACTATAATAGTTTCTTCTTTTGATTTAAATGGTATATTTCTCTTTTAAAAGCTGCACGTAAAGAGTCCACTCAAAACATTTTAACAAATTTAATTTATAAATCATTCTTACAACAGTAAGTCTTAAGTGTTTAGTCAACATTTTTTTTTATTTTGAAGTAATTTGATCCTATAATACAGCAACTGTTTCCATTAAAAAAATGAATTAATGAATATGGTATATCGATACCTGTTTATTTACGTAATGAAATTTATGATTTTTCTTTGATTCCTGTTTCTTTTATATGAGTGGTTGAATCATAACTTGTTTCAGCGTGATAATTATTTGTTCTTATTACTATTATTAAAGAAATTACTTATTATTAATGAAATCTTCGGAATTTTTGTTTAAATGTTTAATAAATAAAATGGGGGTAATAGATGCAATTAAGTACACAAATTTAAAATTTAACATAAACATTGAGTTGTTCCTAGAACTTTGAATGATTATTTTATGTTTTATTGCGATTCTTATGTCTATAAAATGAATTCGGGTTATAAATATTATGACATTTGCTTCAATATTAAGCTGTTTCAAAAACACATCTTTGAAATTGCATTATCAGCTGATTTATGCGATAGTTTTATAACATAAGCAAGGATTGATTTACTTTTATGATTACTGTTTTATGATACTTTTATGACTAAAAAATATACTTTTATGATTATAAAATCTTATACTTCTTGAATCTGATTTTTCAAGCACTTTTTAATTTGTTTCTTTACTATTTAACTAATTTCATTTTGCTATGTGCATCCTTCTGTTTACATTTCTTCAAAATAATTAACTATTTACTATTCAATTTTATTTATTTATTTACTATTGATTATTGGAAAAACTATTTCTGAATGTATATAGCTAGACCAAGTTTATTTCTACAAAAAATAACAGTTGAATTAAAAATTATATTTATTTTCAAATATATTTATTAAAAGATAATAATAATTTATTACTTATTACATAACTTAGAATCAAAAATACGTTCTATTATTTCTATGTAAATTAGAAATATAATTAAATTATACTGTAATTCTTAAAAAATAAATTATAAATTTTCTCTAATTGCCGTACTTGTGTCATAATAGAAAATGAAATGGTATTTAGATCAATTACAGTTGATTTTCTTAGAATTTTAGTCCGATACATTAAAAAAAATTTTGTAATTAACAATATACATTTCAACTGAGAAATTAATTCAATTAATAAATTATCCGTTTCAATAATTGTTGTTATCAGGTATTAATCGTGTATAATTGTTTTTTTTTATTAAAAATTTTTATATAAATTTATTTTGTATTCTGAGAAATAGTAAATTATTTGAAATCTGTATATTATTAACGATGATAATATGTAAACGAAACCTGAAATATGTTTACTTTCGATCTTTAAACATTGTGTATATTGTAAACCACTTTATATGCATCTGTTGTAAATGTAAGGCATTTCAAATTCGAATTGAAATATTTTTGTTTATATCATTATTATATTGTATACATTCAGTAATTGTATGTATAGATAAATTAGTGAATTATCTATCGATGCAATATATTTTTTAAATTAAATATTTAAAAGTTTATAATTATCAGATATACATAATCTATTAGAAATAATCCAAAATTAATTGTATTTAATCAACACAGTTTATTTATTTTATAATGTACAACAAATGGTAAATTACGTATTGTACTTATAAAGTGTATATAATTATTTTAATTATTTTAAATACTTGTGAATATGACTAAATGTATTTTAAAATTTTATATAATTTAGAAATATATAAAATATTTCGATTACCTTTTCTAAAAGATAGTATATATTTTTCTATTACTTATTATAATGTAATAATGAGTATTAAAATATAATTTTCATAGTTAGTTTTCAAGTTTTTTTGTAAATCAAAATATTAATTCAAAAAAATAAAACTGTAAACATTAATACAACATTTTAATTAATTAAGTTAATATTTATTTGAATTAAAAAATCAATAAATATATATATTTAAACAACAATATTCGGATAAGTCATATTATTTTATATGCAACTTTTTGCTTAATTTTATGAAATAATTATATACCGGTTTTTTATTTTTTTCTACTCACTTACGGTACACATATAATTTTAAAAGTTCTGACTTTCTTGGTATTAAAATTATTATCGAACAAAAATTTATATTTTTATTTTTGATATATTGATTAAATTTATTGGAATTATTCAAACTACTAAATTACATAATAGCTCAACGTTTATGAATAATTAACAAACATTAAATTGCTTTTGAAAACTTATTATATTATAATAATGATTAACTGTTTAAACAATCTTCTCTTTTAAAAAAATAAAATATTCAAAATAATATATCTTTTAATATTAATTACAATAAGGAAATTGTTGTTCTTAAGATTTAGTTTTATCTGTATCCATGCGTAAATTATATTTATTACAAGAGCTATTGGCACGTACGAAACTTGTAGAAGAAATTGGGATAATTTCTAACTTGATTATAACTATACAAAATTTAAATTATGCATATTAGATGTAACAATAGAACACAGCATTCTGCAATATTATATATATGTATTATATAGAATCAAGTTTAATCAATATTTTGTTTTATAAACAACAATAAAATATAAAAATAGTCATAATTGTAATTAGGCATCAATAATTAATAATTCAAATGTTCTATTATTATAAATTAGAAATAATTTTTACATTAAAGAATCAGTTTTATATGTATATATAAGAACTTAATTAAAAGTTTGTGCTCGTTATTTTAACCTGGATTTTGAACTCTTATTCGTTAATAGTTTCTAAATAATCTGTATTAAATGTTATTTACAACTGTATAAGTAAAATAAAAACTAATTATCTAATTATAGAAGTTGATAAATGTTTTATTTTTTACCCCAAATTTAGATGTTATTTATGATAGAATCCAAATAAAATATACAAAAGAAGTTTATATTTTATTGTTTTTCAGATAAATGAAAAATAAATATAATCCTTGCCATGTATCTTTATATTATAAATTCTAGTTGAAGTATTTACTTTTTGAAACCTAATTAATAAATTTTATTAAAATAAGTTTTATTTGTCTATATATTAAAGTACATTAATTAGGTTTCATAAATAAGTTATTTGAATCTTTTATTTTTGGTATATACAATTAACATATTTGAAAATCTATATTTTTTGTATAAAAAACAGGAAAATTAATTTTGCAATTAGAATTATGAAAGAAAACGAAATTCTCTTGAAATAAAAATAAAAAAACCTTCTTTTTAAATGTACGAAATAAGTACCTATAAAGAATTTTGTTATTCCGATTACAAGACAATATATAATAAAAACAATTAATAACACGAAATTAAATAAGGAAAATATATTATATGTCGAATTTCTACAAATTTTAGTTTGTTTTCCATTTAAATA